GTTTTTTAAACCAGCCCTATAAGCATAGCAGCCAATTCTTAAACAGCCTGCAAAAATACATGCCAGTTAATTCTAGTCATTGAAATAGTCTGCATTTTCATTCTCTTGGTTGCAAAACGCTTCAGCTGTAATTCTGTTCATCCTAAGTTGGCTGGTTCATAAATAATAGTTTCTTTGGTGCTGACTGTTAAAAGGGGTGACACTCAAGCAACACATTGCATCCTGATATAAACTTTCAACTTATAATAACAGCATATCATAATTATAGCACAGGTAGTTAAAAAATACAGTTGTATATAATTGACTTTAGATGTTATAAAAACTAATTGTTAGAAGACAATGACATGCTATGAATACGGGATAGAAAACACAGTTGCAAGCATTTTTCCTGAATTTTACTTTGACTGTTGTCAGAACCCTTTCAACTTCAACAAACTGGAGGGAAAAAAAACCTCCAAGAGGGCCAGCCCCTGACTTGTGATTTTTTTAATATTTTTCCCACTTCAGGATGGCATGATGTTAACTGCCTTGGAAAAGTGTTTGTTCTCTCTTATGGTACTCTGCAGGGTTCTGAACCATGATAAATGTAGGTGCTTTTCCTTTAGATGTGCAGTATCAGAAACAGGTGATTTTTTTATTTATTTTTTTTTTAATTTTAGAGAACTGTGATTTCCAAAGCCTTCTCATAGTATTAAATACTTGGAACAAAATTGATTGCATGTGATGGGTGGGTACCTGTTTTATGTTTTGTTTAAAGACTTTTTTTTTTTAAAAAACCTCCTTGAATTCTTTGTGTCTCCAAACCTTTCACTTACAGCTTTTAGACAAATGGAAGAACAGAAGTCAGGGTTTCAGAAATGTGGGGTTGGTTTTTTATCTACATTTTTTCTTGCTTTCAAAAAATCTTAGTAATTTGGTAGTACAGTAATTCAAAGATAAACTAGTTTTTAAATAAATTTGATTTTTAAAGAGCTATTTAGATGTAACATTACAATCAAAACATTCTACAGAAATCCTCCCAGTATTTTATTCACACTATATATGTGTGTGTATTTTAACCTACAGTCTGGCGGTGAACAAAGGTTTTTTGATATTTACTCCTTTTTGGTCATTTATGTAAATGCTTCTCAAATATACTCTGAGTCCCCAGGAATTTCAAGCTGGATAAACTTTGAGCTCAAATTGTTTTTCTCAGTTTATCCATTACACAATTGCTTTGCATCCTCAAATGATGGGATCTTGTGATCCATGCGCTGGCATCCCCTTGGGTCCCAGCAGAGCGCAAAGCAACGTGTCTGCTATTTAAACACGGTGCAGTGAGGTCTCTTGGAAGCTTATTGTTTCACTCCTGTGAGACTCGACGGTTCCTTTGTTGAGTCAGTCTAATGCAGCGATTCCAAATGTCATTTAATAATGATCAGACTCCTTAGATGGAAGTCAGCTTCATAAAACATGAATGTCAAACACACAGTTCAGCCACAGCTCTTTCAGTAAAACCAAACTTCGTTTGTTACAGAGTAATGCTTCCTTCTCTATGGCGTCTGGATTTAACCAGGTGTAGTACATTCTCCTAAGGTTAACACTGGCTCGGAGATAATGCTGGTTGTCTCAAGTGTTCCCAACGGGCCATTTTATGTGGTGCTTGCTCCCTTCTACAAAGGGAGAGACCATGAGAAAAGAAAGGAGAAGGCATATAATTTAGCTTTTGTTCTTGTAGTCATATATTTTGCAAAAGATCATTATAGATGATTTTTCAAGCCAACGTAGGCAACAGACTTAAGAGTTTATTTCAGTATTATTCAAATACAAACAATTTTTGTAACAGCTTTTTACCTATTAATGCATTTTACGTGGAAGTGTGCACCAGGACAACTCCGAAGTGTGATGTTGGGTTCACCTGCTTTATGGGGAATATACATTTCCCAGGAGATCAGAACGATAGTTTGTGCAGAGCTCTCATGCTCAGGCTAGAGCATATACAGATGAAGGTATCGGCAACCGCTCCATGGCTAGGATCTGCAGAAAACAGGTAAAATAATTTTACCTCCTTTCCCTGCTTACCACTGTCTTCTCAAAATGTGCATCTTTTAAGATACGTTTAGCTTTAGACAGTGAAAGGAATTTAGGACTGAAAATAGTCTGCTTAGGGCATTCTTTCTTCTCTCTCCCTCCCCAATGTTGCTGTTTTGTTGGGGTTTTTTTGAAGCGGTGTTGTGCATCCTATTCAGTGATTTCCTGTTACTTTGTTCTCCTTGTCATCTACAGATTGCCTCTGTGCGCCGCCTGCCCCCTTCCTCCCTCGCTGTGTGGGGAGAGCCCGTTCCCCTGCGCCTGCCTGAGGTCTCTAACAGTTGCTTGACAAAAGCCAGTGGCTCCCTGCTGCCAGGCCTCTCTCCTCCCCCTCCTGCCCAAAAGCCCCTCTGGCTTTCCACGGATGCCAGCCAAGAAGTTGTTATCTGTGTTTGCATGTCAGGAAGGCAGCACATAAAGTCACATGAGTCCTCAGCATCTGACTCTATACGGCAGTTGAGCAAATTTACCTTTCAGAGGAGTGAGGTGCTGCACGAATGTTTAATGTTCACTTTTATATGGGGTGATTTTTTATTTTTTTTTTTTTCTTACAAGGTGAAGGGCAGGCTTGCATGGTGGACATGGTATAAGCCAACCCAAGCGCACCCTGCTCGTGTTTCTAGCTCTTAGTCTGGCTTTAAACTTGGGGCAGAAGCATTCATGCTATGCTCGGAGATGGAGTCCAGGACCTTGCTGATGTACTGGGCTTCCCAGTCTGTCAGCAGGAGCTCGGACCTGTGCTTACACGCTGTGTGGGTGCTTGAACACCTCCCCACCCCCTGGTACACGCTCCAGTCATGGCCCGGTCTGTGACTGGGCATGTTCTTGTGTATGAGCGGGGCAGGGCGTGAGGTGAGCTGAGAAGGAGCTTGTCCTCATGCTCAGCTGGCAGCGTCGGTGGCACTGAACTGACCGGCTTGAATCTAGAGAACAGCTTTTGGCTTTGTTCCCCACTGAGCAATAAGATTTCTTCTCCATCTTTGAATTGGCCAAACTGGCTTTAAAACGTGTCGTCTTTTGTGCTCTTGTATTTCTGCATGAATCCAGCGAAATGCAGCTGCTCTGATTTCAGTCCCCGTCAGCCATAGAAGAATGTCAAGTCTTCTGACAAGTTCTCAGCAATGCTGATGTGGATTTAAATGCTGTCAAGCAGCAAGAACAAATGTATTTTTAGATACTTCTGTCAAGTCTGACATTGATGTGTCCTATCAGTTCATTGTCAGATTAGCCCTTTGATTTATGTGGAATCATTTCTGCATAACTTGCTTGGTGACCTTTTAGAGGAGAGGTAAAATGGGAGATGACCTGAAGAAATGCCTGGTCAGCTTTCTGGAGACGTGTTCGGTGCTGCATCGTGGTCACACCTTGTCCTGTTTAGAGCAAAATAACGTAGCGGCTCATCACACCGGTGACATACCGCATCGGGGGCGTAAGTCAGGAGCTTGCCTGAAAGCGCGGCAAAGGGTGCATAGTCCAGGCACACGCGCTGTTTTGTCGTGAGGCTGGTGAAAGGGCTGGGACCCGCTGTTGCAGCTCAAGAGCCGGGGGGGGGGCTGCCTGGGCCTCCTTACCTCCTCCCGTTTCTAAAAGGCAGAAAATGACACACGGACAAGCGTGGTGCTGAACAGAGCTGCGCTGGCGTGGCTCTGCACGGCAGCTAGCTGTAAGGAAACAAGTCACCTGAAGCACCTGCGGTGCTGCTCTTGCTGTCCCTTGTTACTTTTGAAATTTTGGTGACCTTTAACGGTGTGGGAGGAGTGACTGTATGGTGTCCAGGAAGCCTTAGAAGTTTGAATCTGAGTCTCTGGCACACAATCTACTTTTTTTTTGAAGCAGAAAATGCAGGAACCTCCGCTTAAAAATTGGATTCGACACAGAACCCCTGCAAGAGCATGGGTAGGATTATATATTGAGAGATGAATTTATTTAACCTGAGGGCAGCAAGAGAGGATTAGATATTTTAATTCCCTCACTTTCCCTAATGACTGTACAGAGTGCTGACACTTGTTTGGCTCGGAGAAGATGACCTCCAAGCTGAAGTGATTAGTGTGTGCAAAGCGCATTTTTCATGGGGCATAATAGCACTCCTACGAAATCAGGAGCATTATCACTGAAGTGGGACATGCAGCTTGTGAATTGGGCTCAGATGGTGAAATTTGGGACCTATCTTGTCAAAGCAGCTGGGTGATGATTTTCAATGCTCTCGCAAGTAAGATCATCTAACAACGTGGGAAATGTATGTCCGTAGGAATTGCTGTGGTTTAGCGTTTCAGAATAGCTAGATACTCAGCTGCTGGACTTGAGATGATAACTTTAGCTACCTGGTTTTTAAAACATGCTTGTCAGTCCAGTTTTTCCTAGGAATTCTTACATGATAGATAAATGAACATACAGACAAGGCAAAAAATTGCTGTAAATTAGCAGGTGTTCATTTCTTAGAGGCTGATGTGTTTTGGTACGTTTCCAAATTAAATGTGTGATTGTGCTTTTAAACACAGGACAGTTTTTTCATTAAAAAGACAAGGCCTGGTTAGAGAATCCCCCCCCTTGGGCTCAGTCCTGTTGCCTTAACAACCTGTACAACAGCTGCAATTAAAGTTTGCTCTCTTATTATTCATCATTTATTTGAATGGAAAATCAGTGAGAAAAGAAATTTTGTTTCATTTATTTGGGTATTTGATCCAGAATTATGCACTTGAGGGATAGATTATACAGGTGACCCACAGGTGGAGTATGTTTGGAGCATTTTCAGGTTTTTTTTAAAACTACAGGCTTATTGAATTTCTGTGGGTAAGGGAAAAGGTTGAGTAAAAAGCATCAATAACGTCCCTTTTGTTTATTGCAGTGTAATTTGACCCATATTTCTGTACAGCTGTAGTCATGTGAATGTGACAACTATTACCTTTTTTTAAGGTAACTTGGGTTTGGTCTTAAAGTATGCCACCTGCTTTGCTGTTTTCTTCATCACACCAGCAGAAGGGGAACGTGCCACAGCAGGGCTGCAGCCACGGCTTCCATATGTTATTGTCAGGAGACAGCTGTTGTGGGACTGGAGTCAGGGTCTTGCGGTGCTCTTCTACAGCTTCTCCTATTCTCCTCATCACTGCGTCGAACAAGGGCTCGGTGCCAGCTGACAGGGGATTCGCCTCAGAGGGATCTTGTGAGAGATCAAACAGCAGTGGAGGGTCGTGGTGGGTCACACCATCCCCGAAACACGGGCAAATTCCTCTTTCGAAACAGGCCCCAGAGGCTTCTGGTTGGAATACCGGAGTAGCGTAATGAGCTTTCCATATGGTGCCACCTGTCACAGAAGAAGCACATTTGAACAGCTTAATGGCATTAGGAGTCAGGGGAGGTCCCTGAAAGATTGGCTCGCCTTTTAAGTGACCTGCTTTGCTGTTCCTAGGGTGAGCTTACATCGTGGTTGTCACGTACGGGGAAAGGCTCTTTTGGGATCTGGCAGGGATTCGGAATGGTTTTCATGGCTCACGGGCACACCTGGGCTCTGGGTATGTGCAGGGCCATATACGCTACGTGGATGGTTAGGTCTAATATTTTGGGTGCAGAAGGAGTCTCTGCCTCTTAATTGTGTCCCTTTAAAAGTCAACATGCCTCCTGGTTGGGGGAAACTGAGAATGTAGCCCCCAATTTCTGGGTTCAAGTGCTGGTAAGTTCTTCTGTTGGTTCTATGCACCTGAGCCAAGAAGAGGACCTGGGCAGAAACTGATCACAGCTCATTTCCACGCTCACACTGGTAAGTTCTTCTGTTGGTTCTGTGCACCTGAGCAGAAACTGATCACAGCTCATTTCCACGCTCACTTTCCAGCACACTTTCAAATAGGGTGGTAACTGCAGGCTGTGAAAACAGTAAAATCTGGAGTCTGTAGTTTTTCAGTTAACAACATGAAGACAACTAGTTTGCAGCTTTAGAGCTTGTACTTTATCAGGCTCTGGTACTGACAGCTGGGTAAGTGCAGGTCTGTAACTTGTAATGAAGAAATGACAAATGACTAGGGCTAAATCTGAATGCAGTCCATCAGGAGATTTTTCCTTCCTTCTCCCTCCTCCTTTTTCCCATATTCCTTAACCTACGTTTAGAAAGCACTGCACTGAACTCGGGGGCAAGGATGTGCCCAAGAAGATGGCAGCAGTTGGATACTCTGTCTGAAAAAGGGAGAGGGGAGGAAAGGGGACATTCAATACTTGGAGCCACTTCTGTAATGCACTGAGCTGACAACTGCATTGTCCCTACATGGCATTTTCTTTTTGGTTCGATGGAATCAGCTGAACTTTCCTTCCTTCTGTTGTCCCCAGAGCTGTTCTTCGTGACTGGGAGTCTGCAGCTTTATTCTTCCGTCTCTGTTGTGTTGCAACTGCTAGAATGTATTTTGTTAAGAAGTAAAATCTAAAAACTTCTTAAAAGGTGAGGGGGAACAAATAGCGGATGTTAAGGCTCGGATAATCTTTTAGCTTAAAATCTCCAGCTGCTGGCTGTTTGGCTGGCTGGCTATGTGTCTGTTTATTTCCACCTCGTGGTCTCCACATCCCGCTAAGCTACGCTTCTGCACTTCTGTGGAAGGATGATGTCTCAGTGGTTCTCAAATGTCTTGGCATACTATATTGAAAAATGTTACAGATTTTAGGTATCTACATTTCTGAAATTGTGAGAGAAAAGGATGCAGAGGGTGGATTTCTTAAAGGAAATGGGCACGCTTCCTGATGGTTTGCTGAGGACGGGTGTTCCTGTTTGGGTGTGTGCTGTGCTGCTGGCTGGGATGTGCTCCACATCCTTCTGCTTTTCCCTGTCTTGTGACAAAAAGAGCATTTGTCTTGGGACAAAAATGCAAGCATCCCCTGTCACATCGGGGTTCCCCAAGAGTGGGATTGGGGCCTTATGTGTGTTGGTCAGTTAGCATAGGTACTTGTTACGAGGAGTGAAATAAGTACTCTCATAGAATCATAGAATCGTTTAAGTTGGAAAAGACCTTTAAGATCATCAAGTCCAACCATTAACCTAACCCTGCCGTCCCACTATTAACACATGTCCCTAAGCACCTCATCTGCCCTTCTGTTAAACATCTCCAGGGATGGGGACTCAACCACTTCCCTGGACAGCCCGTTCCAATGCTTGACAACCCTTTCAGTGAAGAAATTTTTCCTCATTACCCATCTAAACCTGCCCTGGTGCAACTTGAGGCCATTTCCTCTTGCCCTAAAGACATTTGCTCTTGTCCTCATGGCCATAGGCATTTTTCTGATCAGCTGGGTCTAGTCAGAGTGCTGTTGTGATATTGCTAAAATGACCATTTAATAGATAAATATGAGATAAGTCTGTCTATCTAGCTATAGGTAGGAACTTTTATGTGATCAATGTTCAGAAAAAAAAACCCAAAGTAGTCGTGCTTTTCCATAAACAGCTGAGCTGAACACCCCATAACTTATACACTGTAGGGCAGTTCAGAGAAGCGAGTGCAGAGTGAGCAGAATTGTTCTGATTCTGCAAAATTTTAACATCCACTTTTCACAGCTGCAAATAATTACTGGAGTTGCAGAGTGGGCGCCAGCCAGGTCCTTTTCAGTTCTTTCGGAAGGATACAGTGAGGCTGATTGTAATTAACCTGTCTTGGTGAGCTGAGTAGGCAGCTGGGTTACAGAGGGATCCAAAAAAAAGGTGGTAGAAATCAGTGCTGATGGAAGCAGCAGGGGTTTCAGTCATCTCCAGGAGGCAAAGAAGGACCTGGCATTTGCTACTGAAGTAGCTCTGACACAATTTGAAGGATGCGTGTGAATTTTAGGGCAACATGTTGACATAATGCATCCAAGGGAAAGGAAACCTGCTTCTTCAATCCAAACACCTCTCAAACCCATCTGGTAACAATCAATCAGTTTAACGAGCAGAAAGAAACAGACTGTCACTAATAAGCCTTATTGTGCTGTGGTAGAGAAAAGGGCTCTTTAACATATAGACAAAGGATTCTTCTGGCCTCAGTGAAGGGCTTAATTGATGGGTCCTGCCTGGGCGACATCAAGACACAATGGCTTCATATCTAGCCTGTCCAATAGGTAGAAGTAAACAGACAATAAATATGTAATACGAACATGATATACTTGTAAATGAGCTAAGAGACTCTAACAAGTCTGGCAGCCCGGTCAGAAGGAAAAGCAGTTGGAGCAAAGAATCACAACTTCTGGCTTGTCTGCAAGTTGAGCCCCACGGTAATATTTGATTAGCCAGTCTTTCATACGCAGAACATCGCATTGTTTTCAACCCCCCTTGCCGTGAGCAGTTGTGGCTCAATGGGGAAAAACCGCAGAAAGGCGTGCATAGGAGGTTTGTGTGGCTTCGTAGGAACACAAAATACACCTTGCACCTGCATATTGGATCTGTAGAGCAGCACAGTTATTGATGGCTTGACATCCACACTGTTTGCCTGGGGGTGTTTTACTGTAGGCTAACTCTGGTCCTATCCACACGACATCTTTTAGTGACGAGGGCATATTGGATATGATCCTGGGAGCCTGTTCTTACAGTTTAGTTTCAACTAAACTGAAGTCACGTGCTCCAAGCCCATTCCACAGAGCAACCCAAAGTACAGTGGGTGGGTACGCTCAAGAGGGGTTTGCTTCAAAAGCATGCTGCTGATCTGAATGAAAATTGTAACGTAGGCACACCTTACATAGCCTAGGAGAAGAAGAGGTGAAAGCTAGGTGAGGAGGACAGCAGCCCTTTAACCTGAAATGCAGTTCTTCAAAAGCATCCCTTGATGGAGCATATTTTTAGCCTTTCACTAGGGAAGTGAGGCATAACTCTTCTAGCAGGAATTTTCTCCAGGTGTTGCTGCAGTTGGACAAAGCCTGCTCTGCTCAGAAAAAAAATATGCATTACAAAGAAATGGAGATGTCTAAGAACAGCGATGGATTAAGAGGCATAGGAGCTTTGAGTTTCTGACCGCTGTTCTGCTTTAGGTAATGCAAACAGCTGGTGGGGTTGGGGTTAGATGTGATCAAGCCCAGAGCCACTGGCAGTTCTGGTGTGGGGCTGGCTTGGCACCAGTCTGTGCCAGGTGAACTGATGTCTCGCATCCCTAATAGCTATACTCTCACTGTCAGTCTCTAACTCCCTGGTCTGCCGAGTGTCGGATACATGGGGAGAGAGGCTCAAAGCGGTGATGCTTCTGCCGCTGTTGCAGGCTCCACGCACAACACTGCAGCGTTCCCCGGGGCTCAGGCCGTGCCCTGCTGTGCTGGCGTGTGTCAGCTCAAACCGCTGGCCTGGAGCTCGCGGCGGTTCGGGGGGGGGCCAGCAGGCACCCCGCCCTCGCCATAAAGC